TTTATTGTTTTATTTTAAACTCATTATTAGCTGTGTTATTTAATACCTTTTTTACATTGCTGGGAATCATTTTATTCAGTCATCAGATTATATGTGTGGACACACATATTGTGATCTGTTCTCATGATCTGTTTAAAATTGGTTACTTATTTATGATATTACTCATCAATACAACCTTGTTTTATCATATACCCCATAGAGAGAGAGCGGGGGGGTTAGAGGTTTTTTTAAACCACTTATTTGGACATTTTTGCACTATGAAAAATGTAAGGGATTTATATTTTAAACCAGTCCTTCTCAGGAGTTTTAGGTGAGTATAAGACGTCCATGTCTACGTATTTCACAGCTCTTTTCTGATTTTCCAGAGAAATGCCTGAGATCTATGTATCTAAGCGAGCCTTGGAATACTGCCAGATTCCTCCCCAGACTTGTGGTGCGTCAGATGACAGACCGGATGTGGGAACGGACTATAAAAGCACAAAAACATTCCTCAGGACTTCATTTATGACATCGGGCAGCATTGGACAAACATATTTCTTCCCCTGGAGGGCAAAGATCACATCTGGATATCTAACAGGTCACGGGGTCAAACAACACAGGGTGGTCGCAACGTGGGTGGGCTATGTGGGAGGGAGGGGAAAGGTCAAAAGGTCAAAGCCATAAATCAAGGGTCATAAATCATTCTTGACACTCTGTGAATCATATTTACTACTTAAGTCTTTACTCGGGCAGTGTCTGATAGACGTGGACTATTTCAACAATGGGCTTGTCAAGTGTTTTACCTTGCTCTCGCAGGCATTCAGAGGCAACATCTGCAGCTTTTTTGAGTCTCAGATAGTAGTCATATGGGTTTTCGTCCTCCTCAGGCAGGGTATTGTAAAAGAGGGACAGGTGAGTAATGATTACAACTGAAATGTTTGCGCAACAGGCTGTAAACTAAGTTTGGACAGACAGTGGTGGCGGAGTCACAGTTCCTGATCCAGAATTTGACTACATCTTTAGCTTTACCACGCAGGTGTACAAGGATTCCTTCCACGTGTTCATCAGCACTCATGTTACTCTTTTTAACAAATGTCCTTATCAGATCTTCCCATTCCTCAATTTCAATTGTATCTGAACCATCTCCTCTGAAAGACGGTGGCTCCTTGACTTTTCTGTGCTGAATCACTTGTGTGACAAATTAGCCACGCCTGAGGGGCTGTCAGTCTTATAATCATCAGTGTGTTTTTTTACTTGGTATGTCAGCGTCCAAGCTATAGGAACCATGTTGGCCAATTTGATGGACAATTGAACTCATCTGCCCTAACATATCAGGCAGGCTATCATTGTTGGGTGTTGATGTGCAGGCTACTCTGTGATTGACATCTGACTGCATGTCTGCTGCATCATACTCTCTTAGAGGACAAACCCTTCTTGCATTGCCAGGCCTGCTATCACTATCGTCAGCACTGGGATTGTTCATTGAAAAGGGAATTGGAAAACCTAAAATTAAATTTAATTCAATTCAATTCAATTCAAGCGATTTTCACGATACAAATCGTTGCAAAGCAACTTTACAGCAAATTAGGTTTCTACAATATTTAGTAGTAGCTTATCAGTGGTGACTGTCAGTTAATGTAAATATGGGAGAAATGTACGGAAAAATCAATTAAAGACAATCAAACAGACGATGAACACTATTTACAGCAATTATTATATGATGCAACCAAACTTATAGCAACATTTGGTAGTTCTGCATGTTGTTTCATGGTTGGCATCATCGGAGGTCCTCTGAGGGGTTGGCATCATCTCTTCTCAGGTGTTCTGGATCCAGACTAAAGCTTGTGTAAATCCTAGTTACAGAGAAACAAATAGAGACATAATTAGCGTAGCTGCTGTTCCAACCAAGCAA